CTGTATAAAAAGTCCCCAAAATTCACATGTTTTTTAAAAATAGAGTGAAAGCGAAACCAGACCTAAGGGTAGAAGATTTGGGAAATTCCAGGCTGCATTACACCATTAAAAACGGGCCCAATCAGAATTGGACACAAAGAAAAGTTTTCCACCAATAGAATTGGACTTGAGTGGGAAGGATTAGCAAAAAGAGGTGGAGACTCATTTGAATCTCCACCAGCATATAAGCCAGGGTTATGAGAGCAGTTTTTCAGTCACACTCCGGAGTCTGACTCGCTAAGTTGTATGTGTCAGAGCCTTTTGACACATTAAACTTGATTGCATCGGACTTTGCCTGTTTCCAGTGTTTCTTTAAGTATTTACCAGCTGAACCTAAGATATCAAAATCGACATCTGAGGACAACTGACAAGAGACAAGAGGTTCAAGGTCGGGAGCCTACAGGCCCACTTCCAGGCGCCGACTTTAGACACTTCACTAAACTCTAATGAAAAATGGATGGCTGATAATTTGCTACAGGTCAATGCTGAGAAGTTCTTATTTCTGCTCCACCCCAGTCTTGTCCCAAAGATGATGGAAGGTCTTTCCTTCCTGTTAAATCCTATCTATGAAATTGTCTTCACCAAAATTTGCATGCATATGTGGTTTTTTTATGTGGGAAAACCTGCTAAAAGTAGGTGATAGACTCTTGTCCCATGGTCATGGTGTTTCTGGAAAACAGGGTCAGTAAACAGGAGAAAGCATAGATGTATAAAAAGAGCTGCACACAGCGTTGGAGGCGGGGCTCCATTTATTCCTATCAAAGTTGGTCTGTGGCACATGAAGCTGAAAAACCTGGATCTTCTGTATCATTTGGCTTACAGAGCAGGCTCATTAGAGACTTCGCTGGCTAAGCAGCTAAACTATAGTAATCTTATTGGATCCAGTAAATCCAATCCTGATAGTGAAATGAGCCAATTCACAGGGTTGTGACACTCAAATTTATCTACTGATTTACAGACGTTTCTTTTAGACTTGCACCATTTACAATTTTTTGGGCCGATTCCGATTTCTGATTTGCAGTGTTTGGACGGCTGATTTCATTTTTTTCAAACCACTTTACAGCACACAAGATATTGCAATATTTTCTGTCTTTGCTTTATTAGAACATTTTAACCAAGTTACAACCAGCTTTTCAATAATCATCTCAAACAAAAAATCAAACAAACACAAATAGTGACACAGGTTCAGAAACATTTTCCTTTTTGCTCAGATATAACTATAGGTACAGTATTAGAATAAATAAGTAAAAAAGGCATACATAAATGAAATAATATTTCTTTGCGTATAGCATTTGTGGGTAATTTCTTGAATAGACAAAAAAGTAAAAATATCTCCTGTGGAAAATTCACACAGGTCTTCAGGACGCACCCGCCAGTAACTTTCCCTTTCTCTCTGTTTTGATGTGTGTGTGTGTTAATGATTAAGGTGAGAAGCTGCCCATATTTCATTTACAGAAGAGTGAGTTTAATTTGGTCAGCATGTCAACTTTGTGTGCTTTCCACTTTGTCTTTGTTTGTTGTTGTCATTGAAAATTAAAGTATCCTCTCGTACCTGATTCTCTGGCCGGAATCATTTAGTGCATAGTTGTCCTACCCAAACCAGTGTGTCCCTGAGGTCCCCTTCCTCACATCGCCCAAGCCGTGAGTTGCACGTGTGTGTGTGCGCTGCTGATGTTACACGATGTCAATCATGCGGCATGCCGGGAATTTGACCAGCGTTTTAAAATCGGCATTACTGACCAGCACTGCTGATTAGTGAGTGCAAGTCTAGTCTCTTTCCCAATGTAAGTGTACAGGAAAGTCCTCATTGGCCACAGGGCATCATGTGACGTACCTGGGAGCTGTAGTTACACATTTTTTCCACTATGTCAAATAGAGTGCCCCGGGAACGAGTCCTAAGATCCAGTAATGAGTTAGCATGTTAGCACTACCAGTTCTTTGTCTTAATGTCAATGGGTTTTTGGTTGGATGCCTGAAAGCTGAAGAATACGTTCATGTTTTGTTCTACAACATAAAACACATCAGTAAATACTGAGGCTTCCAGAGAGATGAACTCTGACCTCCACTAACTGCAGGTCCTAAATATTTACCACTGGGACAAAACCAACCTGCTCATTGTAATTCACATGTAGAAAAACAGTTGACCTTCACGCTGGTGCAGCTGTAGCCTGGAGCTTCACAGAAAGCAGACAGGTCTCACCCCTCCATTAACATTACTGTGCTCTTGAGAAAGAAACTTTAATCCCATGTGACTCCAGAGGAGTCCTCAGTGGAAATTAAAGGGAGGTGAATTTGGTGTGTCTGTGCCATCAGGTATTTAAACAATGAATTACTACCGCAACAAGGAAACTGGATTCACTACACAGTAACTGTCACACTGGAAAAAACAAAGTATTAGCAGTGAAAGACCAACTGTAAGTCCCCACAGGAAAAACAACACAGTAATTCATACACACTGAGTCCACACGAGTAAAAGGAGAAATGTTTTACAGACTATTTAATGATGAACTCGTACAGTAAACATTAGTAGCAGCTCATTTTCAAACTTTTCAGTCTTGAGCTGAGTCTTTATGTGTGGTCTGTTCACATTTATTTTTGCCTTATTGGGTCGAGACTGAGAGAAGAAGAAATGTCGGAGCACAAACACAACGTTACCAGATTTTATCTTGTCTCTGAAATGAAATGTTACAAAGGTCTCCGATGGCCACAGACATCTGCATACATCATGAGTCCATGTAGGGTAGGCTTGTTTGAAAAGCTCATCTGTGGACACACACACACACACACACACACACACACACACACATATATAATGTCAGGATGCTCCCAGGGAACCTCATAAACATCACAGATCTCTCCGTGGGAAATCTCCCGTGTGTGTGTGTGTGTGTGTGTGTGTGTGTGTGTGTGTGTGAGAATGTCTGCATTTCTGTATGTTTATGTACAAATATGTGTCTCCATGAGCTGATATGTGTGTGTTTGTGTTGCTGTGTGCAGTTACGGTACAGTGCTCACATGCAGTGTGTACCTCCACTGTAACAGCTGGTGTGTGCAGTCGTAGTTGTGGCAGTAGACAAAAGCCCATAAATCCTCCTTGAGGTTTCGTACATTGTGTGTGTTGAGTTTCAGGGGCTGGTTGCACAAACCCCTTACGTTAAGAATTTCTTTACAGTCCTTGTTTAAGTTTCCTAAAAAAAAATCGGTTGCACAAAACACCTTTAAGTCTTCTCCTTAAGGTTTTCTTAAATGCTCACTCAAGTATTTACGGTTTTCTTCTTGTCTTGGTCTTATACTTAAGGAATCCCTAGACCGTTGCACAAAAGACCTTAACAACCAAAGCAAGGTAAAAAAAATTAAAAAAAACTTAAAAGTTAAAGTATCTCTGACTCTATCTTAACCTCTTGCACTCCGCCCCCATTTTGTAGCGAAAACGCCTAAAATGACATACCCAAATTAAAATGACTGTAGCCTCTGAACGGCTCTGACTACATGCATGCATGAGGTTTTGCCAGAATGAAAACTCCCTGAAGTTTCCTCTGAAAGTGTCAGAAACACTCTCAGTGATACAGAGGCAGAGTAATGGGCCTCTGAAGTCAGTAAAAAGTTGAAGATTTTGCCTAAAATAAAATAAAAAGGGTTCTCCATTCTTATGGAGAAAGCTTAAGGTGTTTTGTGTAACTGGTCCCAGGATCACTCTGCAACAACAATTACAGACCCTTTCATGACTTTTCAGGGAAAACTTTGAAAATCACTCACCTTTATTTTTACAGTCTATGCTTTGAACCAACTGAAGGCATGTTTACAGACTCTAATAAATGACTTGCTGATGTGATATTCACAGTTTCTTAAACAGTCTACACTTCTTTAATTCAAAAACATATCGTTGAAATACAATAAACAGAAAAGACTTATATTCTGTTCCTATAACTTCCCCCACTGTAAGGAGCGTTGAGGAGGCCCTACAAGTAATAGACTAATGTCTGACAAAAGTTGTGCTTGCAACCAGCAAAAAGCTGCAAATAGAAAGTGGTGTAAAGCTGGCAAAAAAATATATTTAAACAATATATATACCGCAATTACTGAAGCTGTCTCACAGCAGGAGTCTGTGCGTCAGCAGGAATGGAAACCAGTGAACATAACCATTAAATCATTAAAATCTCCCCCCGTTTCAGTTTCTTCATAAAATATATGATCTCGTCGGCTTCACTCCCTTCACACACTGTATGTGATGTTAGTTGGCGTTGTTGTTTTCCACCACGTTACTTGTTATTCAGATGCTAGGCAACAACTGCCTGAGTCCAGACCTTTGAATCTGCTCTCTCCACTGAAGATGGAAAACACTTTGTAATGAGTTCACAGTTCTGTCTGATATCTGGCAAAGGCAACAAAGTCAAAGATATCACTTCCTATTAAGGATTTTTTGAGGCAAAGGTCAGCGTGGTTCATGAAATGTCCCAGTGTGTCTGTGTGTACAGCAAATTCAAAGGCTCTCATGAAATGGAGTGACGCCTGCGAGCTAGTTGAGACAGTCAGCTCGATCTGCACTGATTCATACACACGCGTCATACCTCACTTTCCATGTCATTTACAAAACACACCCTCCATATTTGGTGGTCTGTTTAAGCTGCAGAAACTTCCCAGCTCTCTCTCTGCCTCGTCACTGCTGCTGCTGCTGCCCTGCATCAGTACTGCTGCCTGCTCTTTAGCTCCACACCCACCTCAGCATCCACCTGCAGGCTCCAGCAATGGGAGGAAGATATTTAATCATCACATCCCAGTTTCTCATGTAAATGTATCTGTGGGGCGTGATGAGGCTGGAGTCTAGGCGCCAAACTTTTACTATGTTCTGTTGTTGAGATAAACAAAAGTGCAGTTTTTGTAATTACTGTGTGTGGACCAGTGTACGTACATTGTGCCTGTGTTGACATATAAATAAATGATCTTTTCTGTTTCATTCCCAGATGATGGGAAGGTGGTGAAGGCAGTGTCAGTCATCAAAGACAACTGGGACACAGAGGAGATCATTCTGGAGGAGCTGACGGTGTTCCAGGTGAGAGACAACTGCCAATAAAGTTCTCTACAATGTTCATCATGCAGCAAACCCACATTAGTCTAAGAACTATCAAAAGAGCCATTTTTGGATAAAAAACAACAACAAAAAAATAATTTTGGGGCTGCAAAATATATTTGAGCCTAATACTGATGATAACACAGCCTTTTAAATCTAAATTAACCTATTAACATTATTAATATGTCTAAATTAGCTGTCATCTATATGTTTTACCACAAGGTGGCGACTCTGCAGCGGGCTTTTATGATTTTTTGGTATTTTAGCTTTGCAGCATTGGGAGCAAAAGCAAAAACATGTGTCCATGCACCATTAATTCCTTATTTTCCCCCAAGACGTTTCCTGTTTTGAAATTGGAATCCACAGCAAATCTAGAGAGGGAGACTCACGACTAGACACCACCTTTGAGGTTCGGCAAAATTTAAAGGAAAAGGTGCCAGACTGTAGCCCAATGTAACTCACATTTTAGTCGATGAAATGTTAAAATATTTTTTTTTATTCTGTGTATAGGCAACACATTATTACAGCTGGAGAATGTAAGGATCACATAAGGCCTACAACACTTACACAGAAAATTAAAATGTTAAAAAATAACCATGTCCTTAGTATTTATTTATTTATTTATTTATTTATTTATTTATTTATTTATTTATTTATTTTGTCAAGGTCACAGGAGAGTGGCTTAAATGCCCTGACACACCAAGCCAATGTGTCACCGTTGGCACTTCGGCGTCGGCGGCTTTTCAGCCAATTGAGCATGTTGAATCGGCGGCGGAGCTTGTCGGTGAGAGAGATCACTCTGATTGGCTGTTCAGGTTTTATTTCCTCGCCCCTGTAGCGAGTGAATCTGCCTGTAGTGAAACCGGGGCTAACCGGTGCTTCCTCCTCAGGCTCCACTTCACTCAGCTGCCCCACAGACC